GCCTATGAAAGGGAGGGAACTGTTGTTGAGACCAGCCTATGGGATGGAGGGGAACTGTTGTTGAGGCCAGCCTATGGAAGGGAACTGTTGTTGAGGCCAGCCTATGGAAGGGAACTGTTGTTGAGGCCAGCCTATGGAAGGGAACTGTTGTTGAGACCAGCCTATGGAAGGGAACTGTTATTGAGACCAGCCTATGGAAGGGAACTGTTATTGAGACCAGCCTATGGAGGGGAACTGTTGTTGAGACCAGCCTATGGAAGGGAGGGAACTGTTGTTGAAACCAGCCTATGGGATGGAGGGGAACTGTTGTTGAGACCAGCCTATGGGATGGAGGGGAACTGTTGTTGAGACCAGCCTATGGAGGGGAACTGTTGTTGAGACCAGCCTATGGGATGGAGGGGAACTGTTGTTGAGACCAGCCTATGGAGGGGAACTGTTGTTGAGACCAGCCTATGGAGGGGAACTGTTGTTGAGACCAGCCTATGGAGGGGAACTGTTGTTGAGACCAGCCTATGGAAGGGAGGGAACTGTTGAGGCCAGCCTATGGCAAGTGAACTGTTGTTGAGACCAGGCTATGGAAGGGAGGGAACTGTTGTTGAGACCAGCCTATGGAGGGGAGGGAACTGTTGTTGAGAACAGCCTATGGAGGGGAACTGTTGTTGAGACCAGCCTATGGGATGGAGGGGAACTGTTGTTGAGACCAGCCTATGGAGGGGAACTGTTGTTGAGACCAGCCTATGGAGGGGAACTGTTGTTGAGACCAGCCTATGGAAGGGAGGGAACTGTTGAGGCCAGCCTATGGCAAGTGAACTGTTGTTGAGACCAGGCTATGGAAGGGAGGGAACTGTTGAGACCAGCCTATGGAGGGGAGGGAACTGTTGTTGAGAACAGCCTATGGGATGGAGGGGAACTGTTGTTGAGACCAGCCTATGGAGGGGAGGGAACTGTTGTTGAGACCAGCCTATGGAGGGGAGGGAACTGTGGATCTTACTCCAGGCTGACCCACCAAGCGTCTCCCCAACCAGAACTGCATTTCACAGCACTGACACCCTGGGAGGCAGTGGAGTTGTAGGTGTCCAGATCAGAAACCCAAAGTTTTAATTCTCAGTCCTTCTGAATATCTCTGGGTTAGAGAGACGAAGGTTTTTTTCTTTGTGGCTGCCCCGACCCCCACCCAGAGTCTCCATGGGGTTAAGTTGGGTTGATTTGGGGAGGCTAAATGGAGAAGGTAGAAGTTTGAGGGCTTTTTGTACACAGGCTTGGTCAGTGGCTCTGCCAGGCCACTGTGTAGTCCTTGCTCCATGTCTCACAACCTTCATCTCTCCTCCCCTTTCAGTGCTGGGAAGAGTGCTGGAGGTGACGGACCTCCCTGAAGGAATCACCCGGACGGAGGCAGACAAACTCTTCACCCAGCTTGCCATGTCTGGCGCCAAGATCCAGTGGCTTAAGGATGCTCAGGGGCTGCCTGGTGCAGGAGGGGGGGACAACAGTGGGACTGCAGAGAATGGACGCCACTCGGACCTCGCTGCCTTGTACACCATAGTGGCTGTATTTCCCAGCCCACTGGCCGCCCAGAATGCCTCCCTTCGCCTCAACAACTCTGTGAGTCGCTTCAAACTTCGAGTGGCCAAAAAGAACTACGACCTGAGGATCCTGGAGCGAGCTAGCTCCCAATAAATGGAAGGCAGGAGGGACTGGCACGGTAGGAGTGGGGGCCAAGCAGAGGGAGCCCAGGCAGACCGACTGGGCCAGAGCCTGCCACCTTACGGCTGAAGAGAGAAGCAGACAGATTCTCACACCGGCATGGGACTCCTTTCCACTTCCTTGCCATGGGTCCCTCTTTTCCCTGTTGGTTCCTTCTGTTTTCCTCTCCTTCCCATCCTCTGCTACCATTTTTTTTTTATCTCTTCTCCCACCATGGAATTGATTTCTTCCATATTTTTTGGTCAAGTAGAATTGAGAGGGTCCCGCACTCCCCTCTTCTCCATTTCCTCACCGTCCCAGTCCCCTTTCCTCTCTGGTCTTCATGAATATATTTATATGGACAGAATTAAGAAAAGTACATTGATTTCCCCATTCTCTCACTTCCCCCATCTTGTCTCCCCAAAACCCACAGAGTTAAAACTTGGGACCCCCACCCCCAGAACACTGTACATTGTTTGTCTGAGGTTTGTGCCACCGTAACAGACACAGTATTCAATTGCACACACAGGTGTTTGCTGGGGGTGTCCACTGCACATTTTATTTAATCTGGTTTCTGTTTGTTCGGGGAGTTGCTGGGGAGGGAGGTTGGTTTTGTTTATAAATATAAAAAAAGCAAAAACCTGTCACTGGGCATCAATCAGTGTTTCTCTATTGACAATTGGTATGGGTTGGGTTAGAGGCTCTGTTCCACAACTGCTGGAAGGGTTTTTCGTAGTTTAGGATGATTTCCCTGGTGTGTGCACAGAGATTTTCCCAACCTCTTCCTTCCTGCCCCTCCTCTTTCCTGCACACAGTTCTCAGACTGCAGACTGCCTTCATCAGGCTCACTCCTCCTCACCTGTGGGCCTTTGTGTCCATATCCGAGGGGCCTCTTGCCCATTATAGCCTTGCTGTGGAGCCGGGCGAGTCAAGTCGAGATGCTGGCCTCATTTCTGTTCACCTGGTCTGCTGACACACCCTTCAGGGATGGGGAAATGGCACCTTTAATCCTAAAAGCAGAGCATTGGGTTCTTGGCAGAAACCCATGTGGATGTTGCTTACAATAAAACCAGCTGAACCTGCAGTGCCAAGCTGTATCAAGGCAGCACACTTACCTTCCTTGCAGCCGACAGAACTGAAAACAGACCACCGCTTGCAGTGGAGTTGACTGCAGAGTCTTCCAGCCATCTCAGTGCTACAGCCCAACAAGCAGAGACGTTCGAGAGCTGAGAGCATCCAGCACTCCCCCCCCCCGTGTGTGTGTGTGTGTGTGTGTGTGTGTGTGTGTGTGTGTATATGTGTGTGTGTGTGTGTGTGTGTGTGTGTATGTGTGTGTGTGTATATGTGTGTGTGTGTGTGTGTATGTGTGTGTGTGTGTGTATGTGTGTGTGTGTGTGTGTGTGTGTGTGTGTGTGTGTGTGTGTTTTGAGGCAGGACTCCGGTTTTGAGCATGGTGACACATACCATCCTGTAATCACAGTGCTCAGGAAGCAGACAAGCAAAACTCTATGAGTTTAAGACCAGCTTGAACATAGCAGGTTCCAGAACAACCAGGGCTACATAATGCAACTTTCTTTTTTTTTTTTAAATAGTTATTTATTATGTATACAATATTCTGTCTGTATGCCTGCCGGCCAGAAGAGGGCACCAGATCCCATTACAGATGGTTGTGAGCCACCATGTGGTTGCTGGGAATTGAACTCAGGACCTTTGGAAGAGCAGGCAGTGCTCTTAACCTCTGAGCCATCTCTCCAGCCCCCTGCAACTTTCTTAAAAACAAGCAAAATCCACACTCCATTGCAACCTTGACTTGGCTGTCCTCCAGGATTTTGCAGCCATGTCATAGCTCACACACAGACTAGAGAAAGCTGTGCCTGAGAATGTAACCTTCCCCTAACCTGTCAGCCCCTATGGGACTATCAAGAGTTGAGAGGTGGAATTGCAATTAAAATGGTTAAAACTGCCAGGTGGTGATGGTGTGTGCCTTTAATCCCAGCACTCGGGAGGCAGTCAGGTGGATCTCTGTGAGTTCAAGGCCAGCCTGGCACTACAGAGTGAGTATCAGGGCATCCAAGGCTACACAGAGAAACCCTGTCTTTAAAAAAAAAAAAATTAAAACTATAAGGCTTGGCTATTTTAACTTTAGAGCATACAGTTCTCATGGGGGAGGGAACATTATTTACAGATGATAAAAACTCACTTTATGGCCTTCAAAGTGGGTAAATGCTTGCTCCCAAGCCTAGCAGCCTGAGCTTGCTCCCAAGACGAGGGGTGAACTGACTCTGGGAAGTTGTCCTTTGATCACCGCTCAGGTCAGGCGATACACAACACATAGTTTAAACATATAAGTCAATGTTAGCCGGGCAGTGGTGGCACACACCTTTAATCCCAGCACTCAGGAGGCAGAGGCAGGCGGATCTACAAGAGCTAGTTCCAGGACAGGTTCCAAAGCTACAGAGAAACCCTGTCTCAGAAAACCAAAATATATGTATATAATTATATATATTTACGGCCAAACAGCAGGGACATTGGAGCTCTCAGAGCCATCCAGCACTCTTTTTCTCTCTGTGTGTGTAAATGTATGCTTGAATTAACCCTTCTATAGAAGGCAACTGGGTTGGTGAGGTTGGCTAATAGCAGAAGAGGTGCTGTATGCAAGCCTCATCTGCTTCAGTTCCTGCATCCCATGATGTGGCAGGAAAGAACTGACTGAAGAGTTCTCAGACCACACCCCTGCGCTCCTGCGTGCATTCAGGAAGAGAAGACCACAGACAGCGGCCACATGCCCAGGGTCAACTGTCATCTGCTCCTTTGACTATTTTTATGATATAAGTGGTTTGCCCACATGTGTATATATGTGCACTCTGTGTGTTCTTGATGCTTACAGAGGCCAGAAGAAGGTGTGGAGCCTTCAGAACTAGAGTTACAGACAGCTGATGTGTGGGTGCCCAGAACAACCCAGGTCCTCTGGGCGAGAAGCTGTGTCATTTCTCCAGGTCCATAGCTTTTGGGTTTTGCCATCTTTTTTAGTAACTCTTACAGTCTCCTCTCCTTGAGGATAGAATTTTAGGTGAAAGAGATGCCCTGTGCACGTGAGAAAGAAGCACAGTAGTTCACCATACTCTGCTCGGCTGTGGAGTATGATGCAGTCTCGCGTGGTTGACTGAGTTCTGATTCACACCCATTTCTCAGCTCCCAGCATCCAGGAGGCAGGGGCAGGCGGATCTCTGAATTTGAGGCCAGCCTGCTCTACAAAGCAAGTTCCAGGACAGGCTCCAAAGCGACACAGAGAAACCCTGTCTCACAAACAAAAAAAAGGAAGCAAAACGTAAGCAAGTAACGGAAATGGGCTTAGAATCGAAAGGTTCTTGGAACATTAGGGGAAAGGGTATGGAGAGTCACCGTTAGACATGGGAACTCACATGAGCGCGTGTGGAGAGCAGAAGCCCCTTTCCTGCTGCAGTTACAGCACATGGTTAGCACGGCAAAACCCTGGGTTCTCTGGTACTTGGAGTGGGGTATGGTGCTGCAGTGTTGGGTAGAAAATACGCCTTCCCGATTAGCCAGTGCTGACCTGCTCAGTGTAAACACTCAGAGGAGCAACTATGGGGGATGGGGGATGGGAGGAGGCAGGGTCCAGCCCTGCCCAGACCTCCTGGTTCCAATTTCTGCCTGTCAGCTGTGCTCTCAGCTGTCCACTGTCCTCCAGCCCTGTCATTTCAGCTCGGCCACCACGGTGAGAGGCTAAGAGGCCTACCAATATTGGCTGTGAGTCCAGAAGGTGCTGGGGGCTTAGCCCTGGCGGAAGAGGACTAGCTCTCCCCCAGCACCACCATCAAGATCTTAGGGACCCTCTTTCCACACTGACCTGACTTAGGGAGTCTAAAGTAAGTCGTTTCTTCATCTTTTTGTTCCCTGAGTCTGTTCGGCTTCCCCCTTGCTCTTGTAATCTGTGAATAGTTTGAATTTTCAAAGTGTAATTGTTCTACTTCAAGATGAGTCAAGATTGGAGAAGGGGTAGGGTGTGGTAGGGTCCAGAGGATGGAGCAGTAAGGGAAGGAAAGGCTCATATTACTCTGAAAACCAAAATAGCAGAGACCCGAGGCAGCCAGGACAGAACTAGGCACCAGGCCCCCAAGGCTCCGAGAGGCAGGGAGAGCATATCTCCGGACACACCTTCAGACGTATAGGAGCAAGGATGCAGCTCAAACCTCCTGAAGCCAGGAGAAGGTGTGTATTGCATCAACCACAAGTGTGTGTAGGACAGTGGTTCTCAACATATAAGCGGTCGCATGCCCGATCTCCTGCATCTCAGGCATTACGATTTATAACTAGCAAGATCACAGTTATGAAGTGCAGTGGAATGATTCTATGGTTGGGGTATTAAAGTGTCGCAGCACTGGGAAGATTGAGAACCACTGCTGTAGGGGAGCGCCGAAGCCAACAGCCTTGAGTGGCGTATTGGATTTGTGGACTGGGGCTGCTCCTTGTCATGGGAAGGTAGGTGTCAGTCTAAGGACCTGGAACTACGTGGGAAGTCTTCTGCCTCTGGACATTTTTTTCAGGACCTCCATAGGATCTGTTCACAAGTTCTAGCAAAAGCTTCCCTTGGGTCTGCCCCACTGTGCACAGCAGGAATACAGGAATAGAACAGGCAGTCGGGTTAGATCTCATAGTGGGCTCCAACCTCTTGCAGGATGACAGAAAAGGAGGTACTGGAGTCCCCTAAGCCCCCCTTCCCAGCAGAAACTCCACAAAGTGGGGTGAGTCTGGACCGCTGATCCCTGGGGGCAGGGGTGTTGGAGGGGCCGGGAAGCCTTGACAGGTAAAGAAAACTGCTTGAGTAGAACCCGCTTGCGTGTGGCTCCTTTGTTGTTGGGCTAGCCAACACTGCAGCCCCAATCCACTAATCCAGGGACACTGCTGAGAAAGTGACCGTCATTTAACATTGAGTTTCCTTCACCCCCTCCCTCAGCTACAACTACTGAAGCAGATATTCAAGAAGGGCTCTCCAGAGACAACTGAGATGGAGCCTCCCCCAGAGCCCCAGGCCAATGGAGAGGCAGTGGGAGCTGGGGGTGGGCCCATCTACTATATCTATGAGGAAGAAGAGGAAGAGGAGGAGGAGGAGGAACCACCCCCAGAACCTCCTAAGCTTGTCAATGACAAGCCCCACAAATTCAAAGATCACTTCTTCAAGAAACCCAAGTTCTGTGATGTCTGTGCCCGGATGATTGTGCGTGAGTCTTGAAGGGAAATAGAGACAGTAAGAAAGAAGGCTTAGGGGTGGGAGAGGACTTACGGAAGCTGTGTGTGTAACAGACACACTGTGGCAGGATTCACGCCAGGAAAATAGTGAGATTGATAGTGTAGGGTGTCAGAAGAGGGCAGACTGAGCAATGGTGAAGTAGCTGAGTAGCCACAGGGCTCCAAAGGAAAAGAGGAATCCAGAACCTTACTCAAATGTTCTCCCCCCACAAGTCAATAACAAATTTGGGCTCCGCTGTAAGAACTGCAAAACCAACATCCATGAACATTGCCAGTCCTACGTGGAGATGCAGAGATGCTTCGGCAAGATCGTGAGTAACAAGGCCCTGGGGAGCAAGAAACGTAGAAGAGGCACAGGCCATCAACTACTTGGTGACCCCTAAAGCCATCCCACACATTTCCCTGCTTCCCCTTCTCTGCCCAGCTCTGAGCACTCGCGAGGGAGGGGATTCTGGACCCTACCTCGCTACTCCTAATGTTTTCCCCATCCCATCCTGCAGCCGCCTGGTTTCCATCGTGCCTATAGCTCCCCACTCTACAGCAACCAACAGTACGCTTGTGTCAAAGATCTCTGTAAGTGCGCATATACGACCTGAGGGAGTGGGCAAGTCTCAGACTGTTTCACACCTCCTCGGAAAGTAAATTCTGAAATAGAATCATTCTGTTTCCATAGTTCTCCCTCAGTCTAGGTTTGGTTTTGATTTTGGTTTTGGTTTTTCGAGACAGGGTTTCTCTGGGTAGCTTTGGAGCCTGTCCTGGAACTAGCTCTTGTAGACCAGGCTGGTCTCGAACTCACAGAGATCCACCTGCCTCTGCCTCCCGAGTGTTGGGATTAAAGGCGTGCGCCACCACCGCCCGGCCCCAGTCTAGTATTTTTACAGCCATTTTTGGATGCACCGACTAGTCTTGATGCATAGCTGAGTGAGCAAGGACCTGAGTGAGCAAGGACTGCAAATGGCCAGGGGTAGAGAGAAAAAACCGTAGTCTGTTCCCTTCCAACCGTTCCTAAGCAAGAACAAGGATGCTAGCCTGTTTGCACCCTGCTACAGAGCGATGCCATACTCGGGGCCAGCCCATGAGCTATGGATACCCCTGGACAAGTTCCTAGTTTGGCAACCCTTAAAAGTATATCTGTCAGGCGGTGGTGGTGCATGCCTTTAATCCCAGCACTTGGGAGGCAGAGGCAGGTGGATCTCTGTGAGTTCGAGGCCAGCCTGGTCTACAAGAGCTAGTTCCAGGACAGGCTCCAAAGCTACAGAGAAACCCTGTCTCAAAAAAAAAAAAAGTATAAAGTATATTCCATATGTAGCCAGGGCTACATAGTGAGACCCTCTTGAAAAAGAAAACATATGTATTCGCTGAAAAAACTGCTGAGATGTATTTGGTGGAGAAACTAAACTCCATAAAGAGTATGGGTTCAAAAAGAATGTGCTGGTGGCAACACCCCGGCCTGAACAAAAGCCAGCAGTATAATAATACTCTCCTGGAAGGAGTCCCATCACAAGGCGTTCCCAGAGTGTCTTAGAACCCTTTATAGATTGGTGACCCAGGCATTACACAGCTGGCCCTTCCCTGTTCTCTCCATCTCCAACCCCCAACAAGTCACCATGAGAATCCACCGACTCCCAGATGCCCCTTTGAGAGATCTCTCCCAGCCCTCCTTTGCCTTTCCAATGATGCATTCTTTCTCCTCCCACTCCACCAGCTGCTGCCAATCGCAATGACCCTGTGTTTGAAACCCTGCGCATCGGGGTGATCATGGCAAACAAGGAACGGAAGAAGGGACAGGCAGATAAGAAAAATGTGAGCATCCCATGTCCTCACAGAAGCCCGTTGTGGAAGCTCCACGGGACAGATCCTTTCCCCCTTGGGAAAACTGATAGAAGTTATGGGTCCTCTGCCCCAAATGGTGTAGCATAACCAAACAGAAACATTCCTGTGTGATATTGTAGATTTTTTTTTTGGGTGCTTTATATACCTCACCAGGAAAAAAAAAATCATGCCACAGGGCTGAGAATATAGTTCTGTGGTAGAGCGCTTGCCTAGTATGTATGCCTAGTAGTAGGTACCCTGGTTCAATACCCAACATTGAAAAGCAAACTCCTCCAGACATAGAGCATGCTTCCCCAATTCTCTTCTAACACTGACGACTAAGTACCACAGAAGGCTAGGTCCCTGGCCTGGCACTGCGGGTAACAAAGGCAAGATCTGTGCATTTTGCATCTGAGAAAAAGAATTTGTCATCCCAAGTAGCTAAGGAATTCTAGAGGCAGCAGGTGTCTGTGAAGATCATCTGCTGTGACCTGTTCATCTTGTGGATGAGACAGGCATGAAAGTTACACTGGGCAAGGGCAGCCTCCTTGTCTTTCACAACAGAGTCGGTAATGCCAGAAATGTGCTTGCCTGGGCAGGTGATGAGTTTCTCTCTGGACAACCTTACAAACTAATATAGATGGTGTTAGTTAAAGCAATCCCAGTTCTGGGGTCTCTGTGGGTACCAGGCACGCACATGGCGCACAGACATATATGCAGCCGGAGCACTCATACACATAAAAAAACAATAAATAAAATCTTAGAGAGAGAGCATCGAGTGCTCTTTACCTCCCCGTATTTACCCAGACCCCGTCTCCGGGAGCCTAGACCAGCATCAGAGTCTCCTTGTAGCTAAGGATGATCTCGAACATTGATCCTCCTGCCTTCACTTCCCAGATACTGGCATTACAGATACAGACCATCAAACCTGCTCTGTGTGATGGTAGGAGCACAACCAGGGCTTCCTGCCTGCTAGGCAAGCAGTCCACCAAGGAAACTATCTCTAACACATGTTCTGTCCCATTCTGCTTTAGGTGTCTTGCTATGTGCATAGCACAGGCTTCCTGTAACTTGCATTATAGCCCAGCCTGTCCTTGAAGTCACAATCCTCCTACTTTAGCATCCTGGTGCTGGAACTGGAGGCGTGCACAGCCTTGTCTGGCTTTCACAATGTGAAAGTCCAGCCTGGTTGTGGTGGTACATACCTTAAATCCCAGCACTCAAAGGAAGGCAGAGGCCTCTGTGAGTCTGAGGCTAGCCTAGTCTACAAAGTGAGTTCCAGGACAGCCAGGGCTGTTACACATAGAAACTCTGTCTTGAAAACATTAATATTAATAATAATAATTTGAAAGTTCCTAAGAGAAAATTTACTTTTCTTGTGGTAATAAATAAATAAATAAATCTTATAGGAAACAAAACTAGAGATCTGATTTCAAAGTGGTTGATATAAAACTTGACTACAGATAACAAATTTCAGTCAATTGAACTATGAGTTACGAGGCTGTTTCAGAAAAAAAAAATCTATATTCTTAGGTTCTGTTCTCAAAGGGGAACTATGAAAACTGTTGCCAGACAGGTAAAGTGGTGCATGTCTGTAATCCTAGTGTGTGGGAGTTGGAGGCCAAGAGATCAGGAATTCAAGGTCACCGGCCACACAGGGAGCATGAGGACAGCTGGACTGCAGGGACTCTGCCTCACAACAAAACAACAGGGAAACAGGAGACTGCTGTGCCCCGGACTCCATGTCTTACACACGGCAGTGTTTTAATCAGACAGTATAACGAAGGGCCTGAAATCTGGATCACGGTGATTGGCTAAGAATCAGTGGGGAGGAAAAGCGAGGAAGCTATGTCTGCTCTGTTTCACATTTAAAGCCTGAGAAGGCAACTTGAGACAAATAACTAAAAGATAACAGCAAAGCTGATATGAGCTTAATAAAAGGGGTTGAAAAAGAAAATCAACAGGGTTGTGCTGTAAAGGGGTGAACTGCCTGGCATTAGCTGTGTTCAGGCATAGTGCAGGGGACAAACCTGCCAGCATGCTTCAGAAGGAATTCCTGCATCAGGCAGGTTCTTAGACTACTGTTTTCTCCAAGTATTCTCCCAGCACTTAGATACTGTTGTTCTGTAACTCTCTGGCCTGTCTAGAGAGGTTCCCAAGACAGTACCTCTCTAATACTGGTGTCCCCGACAGCCTCTAGCAGCCATGATGGAGGAGGAGCCAGAGTCAGCCAGGCCAGAGGAAGGCAAGTCCCAGGATGGTGAGTACCAGCCCTCTCCACCCCCAGACACAGCATGGAGTCAGTGTAGGCAGTGTAGGCAGGGGTTTGTGTGCAGTGTAGGCAGGTGGGCCCAGGTGGACAAGTCCTCCAGCAGACAGGGAGGGGGTGATGGATGCCCTCACGGAGGCAGAATCCGTTTCCCCCATTTCCCACCCAAGGAAACAATGCAGAAAGGGACAAGAAGGCTGAGAAGAAAACACCGGATGACAAAGTGAGTCCCGTCTACCTGTAGAATCCGGGTCCTCCTCCCAGACATCACTCCCAGATGTTCCCGCCACCCTCCACCCACTCTCCACGCTGAGACAGACACCCAAAGACCAATAAAGTGAAGGAGGTGTCGAGCTCATGGCCCGTCTTCCGCCCCCCAGCACAAGCAGCCCGGCTTCCAGCAGTCTCATTACTTTGTGGCTCTCTATCGGTTCAAAGCCTTGGAGAAAGATGATCTGGATTTCCCGTGAGAAGCATTCAAGGGAGGCGGGAGTGTGGGGAGCACGGAGGAGGAAGAGGTCGCTCTGGGAATGGCGAAGGGCGGGTGCCTTGGGCCGCTGTTTTGGAGCTGCGCCTGCAGCACAGCCAGGAACTGGTGTGTAATGTCAATCACAGAGAACTCTCCTTCCTGTCCCAGGCCAGGGGAGAAGATCACAGTTATTGACGACTCTAACGAGGAGTGGTGGCGGGTAAGACGAACGGCTAGAGCTGAGGTGGGCTAAGGGTAGGCTCTTGAACCTGAGATCCTTAGCCTACCGACTCCCTTCTCTAGGGGAAAATCGGAGAGAAGGTCGGATTCTTCCCGCCAAACTTCATCATTCGGGTCCGGGCTGGAGAACGCGTGCACCGCGTAACCAGATCCTTTGTGGGGAACCGCGAGATTGGGCAGATCACTCTGAAGAAAGACCAGGTAGCTCGGGTACCCTAACCTAATCCCAGGCCTGATCTCACCGCCCATCCACACACCTGGGAGGTGCTAACCCTTTCGGGTAAACGCCCCTCCCCCAGCTTCCCCGCTCTCGTCCTCTGTCCTTAATTTAGCTCCTGCTCCCCAACCCTCTCACTCCCTAGATCGTAGTGCAGAAAGGAGACGAAGTTGGCGGCTACGTCAAGGTCTACACCGGTCGCAAGGTGGGGCTGTTCCCCGCCGACTTTCTGGAGGAGATTTAGGTGAACTGGTGCCTGCTGGCAGGAGACACCTAGGCCTGGCTCTGGGCGGGGCCCAGTGCGGGCTGGGAGGGGAGAGGCAACTGGACTACTGAATGAGGAGGGGTGGAAAGGCCCACGAGCATGACGATGTTACTGGGGAGGGTCTGTCTCCCACTTCTCCCCCTGCCCAGGGCTTCGGATACCCGGTGCACTGGATAGCCGGCACCAATAAGACCCACACTTCAGCCCACCCAACCTTCAAGAGCTGGGGGGCGGGGTGCATATCCATACAGAGGCGCCAAGGGGCTGAACTGTCAATGTTGTGAATTTATTAAAGTTTTGACAGAAGTTAGAAAAGTTCGTCTTTTTTTCTTTTTTTTTCTTTCTTTTGGTTTTTCGAGACAGGATTTACTCGGTAGCTTTGGAGCCTTTCCTGGGAACTAGCTCTTGTAGACCAGGCTGACCTCGAACTCACAGAGATCCGTCTGCCTCTGCCTCCCCAGTGCTGGGATTAAAGGAGTGTCTTTTTAACTGCGGATGAAGAGAAGGCGTGTGGAGGGAGGAAGAATGTTCCCCGGCTGCCCCACTTCATATTGTCGGGTTCTAGAAACCCATGACTGGTGGGAGTCGGAAGACTTGGACTCGCTAGTCTAAGCTTCTGCTGGAAGAAAAGAGCCGGACTGGAAAGCCACCCCAGGGCCCCTGTGGCTGGGAGAATCGCCTGGTGTGGCTAGATATCTCCGCTAGGTCTTGGCCATTTAGCCCTTGCATTTCAGAACCTGGCTCAGAGCCCAGCTTGGCCGCCAGGGGGCGATGTAAGATCTCAGTTGGAGAGAGGGATGGGGAGGGGCGTGGGGGGTGGCTAAGGGGAAAGAACCAGAGACACCAAGCCTGAGACCCTGGGCCTGGGAGGGGGTGGGGTGCGTGCCGTCTCCATGGCAACACTTCCTCTAGTCCTCCGGGAACGGAGCTAGCGAGGCCAGGGGGCCTCACCCCTCCCGCGGTCCCTGCCCCAGCCCTTTTCCGACAGGTACGGAGAGGACGCCTGGCAGACAGCTAACGGGTTCTAGCGGAGACCCCCCTGTGGTGCGCCGTATGCAAATGTTATTATTTGCATATGCAAATATGCAAATGTGCCGGCCCTGGTCAGGGCGGCAGGTGGCGAGGAGTGGGAAGGTGTGCAGAAGGGAGCAGAAGGAGATGAGGAGTTTGGGGACCTAGGAGCCGACCATTGAGAAGCAGCTTGGGGTGGTCGCTGGAGTCGGGCAGGCAGAGGGTCTTGGGTTTGAGAGCGGGTGGGGGAGGGTCGGCCTGGCCAGCCAGAAGCTCCTCTTCTAGTCTATGGGTTGTCTGCCAGGACTAAGGTTGGCACCGCCTAGCAAGGTTGGCAGCGGGAGCCCGGGCACCATCTGCTGCTGGAGGAGGGGGGAGGGCAGAGGCTCAGCTGGGTTGGGAAGAGGAGGGCCACGGGACGGACACCCCCTCCCCTTCCGTACAGAAAGATGAGGTGTACTAGGGGTAAGGAAGCACACAAAACTCGCTGCAAAACCGGGTTCAGTTTCTTGTTCCCTGTGCCCTTGACTGTCACTTCTGAAAGCCGGGTGGTGTGAAGGCCAGGGCTTTAGAGGGACACTGGACAGTCCCTTTATACAAGGAAGGGGAAGAAGGACGAGGATGCCGATTGCCTGTATTCATCAAACGGTCTAAGGGACTCAAAAACTGAGCCCCTCGGGCTTTCAAGAGCCCCCCAAAAATACTGAAGCAAAACCAATTTACTGGCTCATTGGGCGGCAGTGTTGGTGTAGGGGTGTCGAGGAGCAGGAAGAGCGGCTGTTCTCTCTCCCTATACTCACAGGGTGCCCCCCTTCTCCCTCGCCTTACCGAGCCAGCAGCTGTCCCTAATTAGAGCGGCGGTTTAATTGGATTTATCAGCAGTTAATAGGAAATTAAGCAAAGGGCCCGAGAGAAGGGGGGGCGGGAGGAGCCGGGAGACAGGCTGCGCCTATCTGGAAGGAGGGGTGCTGGGGTCCCAGGGGTGGAGAATCGTGTCTTGATTGAACCGGGTGATCATACCCTTCTGCTCAGTACTCGGCCAGTTGAAATGAGTCCTGGCCAGTCCCAGGAGAGGGCAGGAGGTATGACAGGGGCACTGTTTGGCCCCCAGTGCCTCCCACTCCCACCAGCCAGCTGCCTGGGTGATGGATGGTTCTGCCACACACTGCAAAGGTCATAAGTCTGGGCCAAGGAGCAGACTGCATTGAAAACAGATGAGAGGGAAGGCCAGGGTATTTCAGGGTCCAGGACACAATGCACACCCACCCCTCTCCAGGTTCTAACTGGAGATTTAAAAAAAAAAATTAAAAGTTGATTGGGCAGCGTGCCTGGAGGTGAGATACCGAACCCTCACCTCAGCTCAGTTGGGGCTCCTGGGGATCTTCTAGGGCTGTCCTTTCTGTCCCATCAGCCATCGCTCTGCCTCTCGCATGCTTAAGTTGGGACTGTCAGAGCTTTCCAGAGTAGTTACAGCAGGGACAGCCAGAGGTCTGTACCTGAGGGCCTGGGAAGGAAGCTTGAGGGGCGGGGAAGCTGGGGTGGGAAGCTGGGGTGGGGGTGGGGGCGATCGGCGGCCTCTGAGTCCACAGCCCCAGGCGCTCCTGTCACCACTTCCTCATTACGTCGCTAGGCTAATGTGGGCTAACAAGCCTGCCCCAGCGACCCCTCTCACACACTCAGCCCAGCAGGGCACAAACAGCAGCCTTTGCCTTTGCTTAGGTGCAACCCCGTTGAAGGCACGTGGAGGGGTCTCTTTCTCAGTGCTTCCTAGTGTATGGCATACGCACGTCTGGGGATGTGATGTGTGTCTATATCCCAGCCCCAGATACGTGTGCTCCTGTATACGTTCCAATTTTGTCAGTGCCTGTGTGTCTATACTTCCCGGGTTGTCTACCCCCGCCTCCTCGTTTCTATGATTTCTGTCTGTAAGTCCCAGGGTGGCTAGGTGTGTTGAGCATTCTTTTCAAACGTGCTTTGACATGTCGACGTGTCTGTGCGCTCTTTGAGTCTGGATGTGCTCCGGCGTGCAGGCGTCGGTGCCTCCAGGATCGTGTATGTGGAATTCAAGAGCCACTGCCGTGTGCGTGTGTGTGTGTGTGTGTGTGTGTGTGCCCGAGCGCGCGCTGCTCTGGCGTCTCTGCTTGCAGGTGTGTGTCTCGGTGACAGTGCGTGGGCGTGTGCCTGGGTGTGAGCTGCGCGGCAGCATGTACCCGAATGACAGTGTGACGCCCGCGCCCGCGTGTGCGCGCGTTCCCGTGCACGACGGCCTCTGATTGAGTCTCCCGCCCCCGCTTCTTTCTCTCTCCATTTCTATTCCTCTCTCCTTTCCCGGCCGGCTCGCCGTCCGCATCATCTCCATCCATTATTGAAGAAACAGCCGCGTCCTCTCCAATCACATCAACACCCCGCCCCCTCCCTGTTCTGCTCGCCCCTTGGCTCTCTGGCTGCCAGGGAGGAGGGGATGCCCAGGCATAGCGGGAGCCCTGGGCAGAAGTGGGTTCATGACCCTGTGCCCGGGTCTGAGCGAGGCACCGGGACACCAGGGTCCCTAGCGGTGAGCGCTTTGCATAAACAGATGGCGCGGGCGTCTTTGTCTCGCTTGCTAGCCTGCTTGCCGCTAGGCTCCTGGCTCCACTTCTGTCTGGCTGCTGCAGTCCTGATCATCTCAGAGCCTCAGGACCCAGCGCCCTTAATAGTGGCAGCAGGGGTCAAGGACCCCCGGGGCTCCTGAGCATATGCAGGGCTCCGTGGTTTCCCTCTCGGGCGCCCTCTCCAGTACTTCAGCTGCAGCGGGAAGATAGAGGCTGCAGCGAGGTGACAGGAATGTGGAAGTGATGGGAGGGGACCCTGAGCAATGCCCCCAAAGTGTCCGCGAGCTGTTCCACTGGGTTGCTGCAACTCCCCAGGGACGGGTACTAACCACAGAATAGAAATAAAGAATGGATGGGTGGGAGGGAAGAAGGGAGAGGAAGGAGGGAGGAAGGGAGGGAGGGAGGGAGGGAAGGAGGAAGGGAGGGAGAGAGGGAGGGAGGGGGGCATTTGCAAAGAGACCACAGCAAGGTGTAAGGGGGAAGGAGAGAAGCAGACACGAAAGGACAAAGCTAGGTGGATGGGTCTGGAGCAGAGTGTCAAGGAGAAGCAGACATACCGAAAGACATAGAGCTAGAGACAGTCTGAAGAGCAGCAGAAAGAAGTCAACCGGGGTCTTAGGGAAGGCCAAGTCAGAGGCAAGTCCCCACAGGACTAGAGCAGAGATGAAGCCCCAGGTGTGTGAGGTCAACCTGGAAAGAGAATTCAGCCTGAACCTGGATGCTGTCCACACCCGGCGAGATAGAGCGAGGGCCCCATCTGTGTCCTCTGACTAGCCAGAAGAGAGGAGGCTGAGAGGGTCCTACCTCGGTTGCACGAGCGAGTAAGTCACTGGGTACAGACCTGTGTGTGCACAGCACACTCCAGGCGCAGACTTGAGCAAATACTGGAAATGCAGAGCAGTCTCTGCCCGACAGGGGGAGCCCGAGACCTCTTCTCTGAACTTGAGAGCGGCTCGGCCTCCAGAGGGCATCCGCACCCACGGACCCCCGCAATCTGCTCGCTCTGGAGAGCCCAGCTGCATTTGACTTGCTGCGCCGCCAGCCTCACGGATTAGTAGCCCGGAGCGGTTTAGAGTTGAAGAGTCTGGTCCTCTTGGGACCACGGGTTGTGCCTAATCCTCGGCTAACGACTCCTGTTGTCCCTCACCTGCTGGACCAGCACGGTCTGAATTACGTACGGGGAAAATGTAGGGGAGGGTATGGGGTGAGACCTGGAACCCCAAAGACCACCATCCAGATAGGGGAACACAAAAGGGGAGGGGTTTCAGAGATAGGCCCACAGAGACCCGGATCAGGAGCAGACGAAGTGTCAAGAAACTGAGGAAAGGCAAGAGCAGAAGTGATAATATTATATCTGAGCTTAAGACCGGATAATATCTGAGCTTAAGAGCGAACTGGATTAAAAAATATTTTTTTTTAAAAATGGGGCTGGAGAGATGGTTCAGCGGTTAAGAGAAGTGGCTGCTCATGCAGAGGACTGGGGTTCAATTCCCAGCACCCACATGGCAGCTCATTCCTGCCTGTAATTCCAGTTTCAGAGTATCCCACACCCTCACACAGATAAACATGCAGGCAAAAACTCTAATGCACATGAAATAATAATTTAAAAAAATTAAACAAAAGAGCGGACTGGAGACCCAAGGGAGGAGAAACCTACCTCCATGTACCAGGACAGGCTCTGGGTCTCTCTCCCCAGGCCTAGGTCACCAGAAAGAGGCAAGCGAGGGCCCAGGAGCAAAGGCCAGATGTCCCTCCCGGAGTCCGGACTCCCCAGCTGTACTACAGAGTACCACCAGATGTGCAGCCCAGCTGGGCAGCTGTTGGAGTTTAAGCTTCAAGATTGGTATTTAGCACCACCCCCACCCCAATCTCCAGCGGTTCCAGCTTGGGGGGGGGGGATACTGGTGACTGGGACATATCCTCCCTGGCCCAACCCTAAAGTGCTGATGCTCCACACTGTGACATCCCATCAGCCCCCCTCCACCACCCCATCCCCACCCCCACCCCCATCTCAGCGAGTCTCTGTCTCTTTGTTCTCGCCATGTCTCTGACACTTTATCTCATTATCCGCCGGAGGGAGGCGGAGAGCCCGGACCCTGCAGCCTAATTACGGCTGAGCTTGTCAGCTCAAGGGGCGGGCGGGTGAGGTGTCGGTGCGTGAGGAGGGGAGGGGCCCCTCAGAAAGGGTCGTCCCCTTCCCTGTTACCCCAGGGAAGCAGTGGCGGGTACACGGCTCATCCCTGCGGGTGCCCACCATAGGACGAGTTCTTTAGGGCAGAAATGGGGGAGCTTCGCATGATCCGGGAGCAGAAGCTAAGTGGGAGGGCGTGATGGAAATTAACATGAGAGAGGGAGATGAGGTTCACCCTGTGTCCCCAAAACCAGTCCTCCGAAATGGAGGGTGGGGGGAACTTCCTGCCCTGGCAATACAGGTATACTTGAATTGACTGTTCTCTCTTCGCTGTTTCTACATCCCTTCCAGCCTTCTAAGTCGGCCCCCTTCGTTCAGAGCTCCCTCCCTGGAGAGAGCTCTGCCTTCTGTCTCAGGCCCCCAGACTGCCCCAGCCATTGTCTTACTTTTTGAACAGTGCAGAGATTCATGCACCTACAGCCTCCACCCCTAACCTAACTACTCCAGGCCAACCACAACTCAGCGGAACTGCCCTGGAACAAGAGGCGCTGGGGGCGCTAGCAATGCTCACTTGCCTCCCGCCTCCTCCAACTGCATGTGCTGAGGCAGAATCTGTATTCTCAAGGCCTGCTGGCTCCTGGGAGGCTCCAGGGGTGCTGGGAAAGCGCTGTTCCTTGGTCCCTCCTGTGGACATTCCACATCCCTGTTTCACTAGAGGGCTGTCTGCTTGCCTGTCCCGCATCGGGGCCCCCCCTTCAGTCTCTGGATGCTAGAGGGCCTTCTCCCTCAGATACCCCAAAGACTCAAGTATAATGTCTGGTGGGCCAGGATTCCCCCATCTGTAGGAGAGAGTTGGGAAGGAGAAACTTCAAGGCTTCCCAACGCTCTCCAGTCTTGTTTGGACCTGGTATTACAGAGAGGAAACAAGATGGGTGGGGCTGGCTGGGCTGGGCTGACCCCTCCCCGATGGGGGGCGGCACCCCAGGGAGAGGACTAGAACAGATCCAGCAGAGAACAGACACTGGAAAAAGATGGCAGGAACCAGTTCAGGGGCCCGCTTCTACCGGCAGATAAAAAGACACCCCGGGGTGAGTTCAGTCCCAGATCCTCACTTCCCTCTTACGACCCCACCTCTCAAGACCCCCAGACCCTGCCTCCGGTCTAGTTTCCTTAATGCTCCCAAATCTTCCCAGGGGCATCCCACATTCTGTCTCTGCAGTATTATATTCATATCCCTGGAATCTACCTTGGGCCAGCTCATGTAGGGCAAGAGAGCGTGGAAACTGTGGTTGGGGGTTTCAGGTCTCGCTCCCAGAAGGGAGGGCGGGACCCGATCTTGGATGAATAAGAGGGACAGAAAAGCCGGTCTAGGGTGAGTGGGTGGGAACTGGGAGGAGTTCGGACCCCAGACCACCTGGCTCTTTCTGCAGCTCATCCCAATGATCGGCTTCATCTGCTTGGGCATGGGCAGCGCTGGGCTCTATCTGCTTCGACTGGCGCTGCGTAGCCCGGATGTCTGGTAACTACAGGGCTTGGAAGGCAAGGAGGGGTCCTGGGCGGAGCAAAATGGGACTGCTTAGGATTAACGGTAACTAGTGGGTGACCCTAGAAGGGGTCCCTTGGTCCACGCCCTTATTTCCACTCTTACCACCCAGCATTTCAGAGGGTAGGAATGCCTGATCTGAGAGACCCTCCTCTCCCATCTGGACCACCTGGTGGCTCACTTGTCAGTGGCTAGCCACGTGGGGCGGCTGGAATCCCATCCCGCTCCCCACAGGGTTGCCATGGCGACACAGCTCTATTGCCCACATCTGGCTTTTCGGTACCTCTGTGCCCGCCCAGAAGTGCTAGAGGTCTGCCAGTGTGGGGCTCTGGGGCTCTCTGGTGGCAGTGAGACTTCATGTCCTGCCAGAAGCATCAAGAGGACCTTTGACAAGGCCACTCTGACCCTAAAATTTGAGGCGTACCACCAAAGCCCTGCTTTTCAGGGTTTCTACTGACTCCTAGGACTCTGCGTGGTTAACCTAGGAGGCAGAAAGCCTGGGGAATCCATGGACTAGACAGGTCACCAGGTACCATGCCTCTCGCCAGCACCTGTCCCCTTCTGTCAATCTCAAGGAAATGTGCTCCTCTCCCCAGGGTAGGAAACTGGGGGTGGTGACACTAGGTCTTTAATGCCAGTGTCCTGGTCCCCAGAAAGGACCCTAACCTTCCTATCCCCCTTACAGCTGGGACAGAAAGAACCCAGAGCCCTGGAACCGAGTGAGTCCCAATGACCAGTACAAGGTGATTATGGACCTAAAGTGCCTCCCTCCACCTCTTTCCTGGCCCGAGACCTGTACCCCACACACAGCAAGTAAGAGAGGCAAGAGACACTCCTTCAATCTCCTTTCCCTCCCCACAGTTCCTCGCTGTTTCCACTGACTACAAGAAGCTGAAGAAGGACCGGCCAGACTTCTAAGGCAGGGCCCGAGGGTGCCATGGAAATCACGCGCTTCTTCCATTCGCTGTCCCAGACTCTAGCCATGTCCAGCTTCTGCTTACATGGGCTGGATTCCCACGCGGAGGGGGGTGGCTCCACCCCCACCCTCCTCCTTTGCTCCCAGTAGAGGAAGAACCTCTGACCCTCAGCTTGAGTCCCACGGTGGGGGTGGGTAGTCAAAGCTGCAGGCAGATGCTGGGGTTGACCCAAAAGGCCCAAGCTAGCCCCTCTCCACTCCTGCCCCCCCACGGCTAACTGGGCGTGGCAAGGCTACGTGTTGAACGTGACAGACGTGTGCCAACAGCAAGCAGGGGCCTGAGTGCCAAGCGACGTGGCAGGCCCCACATTAGTGCAAGTTTTGAGCAAGGTCTAGGGGGAGTGGCTGCCCAGGCTCGACCGGGCCCATCCTGGCTACCCAGTTTGCCTAGGATGGAGAGCCTCTACCAGGCAGCTTGTTCCTTTCCTGCCCAAGCTGGTGCCTCCCATCAATGGCACCCCCTCCCACCTTGCACCTGGGCCTTCCTGTGCTTTCTCCCCACCCCTCCCTTCCCTTGCTCCTCAGTCCCTGGGGATCAAACAGAAGCAGCCGTGGGCAAAATACAATTTCATTTAACAAATTGAATTTGCTGCGCCTGCTAATCACGTCTGGTGTCGGCTCTGATCAGAGACAGAGCGGGGAGGCTACAGCCCCGGGGGTCCTTATGGTGGTGGGAGGAAGGAGAAATACATGTTGAGGGAGTCGAATCGCTGCCTGGCCCAGGGGACCCCTCCCACAGTAATAGGAACTCTGGGCAGGTTAGCTTTTTATTAGATAAAAACAGGAAGGAGGGTGTCTGCCTACCCCTTCCTCGGGCTCAGCACGTAACTCCCCCTCCCCAAGAAAGAGCAAGAGTCTAACACTGAGATATGGCAGAGGGCCGGGGCAGACAGCTGAAGGGGTGTTGCGTGTGATGGTGTATACCTGCAACCCCAGCACTTGGGAAGTGGAGGTAGGAAGGTCAGTTCAAGGCCAGCCTCAGCTAAGTGAGACCCTGTCTCAGCTACAAATTCCAGGAGGGGGCTTATGCCTGGCTCTTGCCCTAAACAGAAGGCCTTCCTCCCTCTACCGAAACCAAGATCAGCGGTGTCTCTTTTGTGGTCCAGGTAGGCAGAAAGAAAGGTAACTTCCAGTCTGCGTGGTCCTCAGCGTTCATCAAATCCAGGCATCGGGAAGGCCCTGGCGAACTCTTCCACCTGTTGCCTGAGGCTGGCCAAACGTTGCCTTGTCTCTGGGTCTTTGAGCAGGAAGGATTTGAAATCCTGGAGCTTGGCTGAAAGAGTATGAGGAGATGGTCAGAGCTCAAGACAAGGCGGGAGCCAGAACAGCAAGGGGGACAATGGGTGGAAACTCCTCGGCTGGGGCCTTCGCAGCACTCACCAGTCTTGCTCTTCACCTCCAAGCCAATGTTGACTCCTTCATCGATGAAATCAACGACCCTACGGAAGTCATCCTCGCGGAACTGCCGAGAAGTCAATGCTGGGGCGCCTGGGAGCGCAGCAGACAGACAGTTAGCATAGTCAGGATCATGAGTGTGGCCGGGAGCCTCCCCTCCTCAGACCCCAGGCCTCACCAAGCCGCAGGCCCCCGGGAGTGATGGCACTGCGGTCTCCAGGGCACGTGTTCTTGTTGGCAGTGATGGACACAAGCTCCAACACCCGCTCTGCTCGGGCTCCGTCCAGGCCCTTGGGTCGCAGGTCCACCAGCACCAGGTGGGTGTCAGTGCCACCTTAGGGGGACAGTAAACGGAGATTGGAGAGTTCGGGGCCTCTCTTGAGGGCACAAAGGCCTTCACCCACCGCTGGCTTACCCGACACCAGTGAGTAGCCTCGCTTGAGCAGGGCATCAGCCATGGCCTGAGCATTCCTCAGCACCTGTAAGGAGTACTCCCGGAACATGGGGGTGCGGGCCTGCAGATAAGACAGCACCCCGTCACCCCAGGGCTGAGAACAGGCCCTGTTTGGGACTTGAATTAAGCAAGACTCCGACCCCAACCTTGCTGCCTCCCACCTTAGCCACTTCCCTTCCATCTGCCTCAGCCTCAGCTACAAGGTACGGAAGCAAAGCCTCTGGACCAATGCACCCCGACACGAGGGAAGGCTCCCCGACCTGCTTGAGGGCCACAGCTACTGCAGCAATGGCATGGTTGTGGGGGCCCCCCTGTAAGGATGGGAACACAGCAAAGTTGATTCGGTCCTCAAAAGTGTAAGGGATCTCTTGGCCAGTCTTGGGGTCTACAGTCCGCACTCCCTTCCGGTAAAAGATGAGCCCTGACCTATGTGGAAGACAAGTAGTTGGGATCTAAGCCAGTGACAGGCGATGGGGACAGAGGAGACGGCTGCTTTGGACACTCAGAGGCTCTGAGGTCCCTCAACTGTGCTTGATGCACTGAATCCCAGTGGTCGAAGGGTCCAGCATCACTCCACCCACCCCCAAGTTCCCTAGCAAGGTCTAACCCCAGGTAGTTCTGACCTGGCCCCTCGAAGAGTCTTGTGAGTGGTGGTGGTGACGACGTCCGCATACTTGAAAGGTGAAGGGATGACCTTGGCAGCCACGAGGCCACTGATGTGGGCCATGTCCGCCAGCAGGTGTGCCTTGACCTCATCGCAAACCTGGGCAGGTAGGGAGACATGCCTCAGCCTGGGGAAGCCGTCCTTCCCGGCCCCACTCCCCACCCTTTGCACTCCAGCCCCTCACCAACCTCTCTCATGCGGGCATAGTCAATGAGGCGGGCGTAGGCACTGGTACCAGCAATGATGAGCCGTGGTCGGAAAAGCCGAGCAGTCAATGCCAGCTGGTCGTAGTCAATGAGGCCGGTTTGGGGCTGGATAAATAGATAAGTAGCTAAAGCCCTGAAATGGCAGCAGGTGCAGCGCATGCTCCCTGGGGCTGAAGGCTGGACCTCCAGGTCCTCCCACTGGCCAAGAACAAACCCTCAGGGCCAAGTGCTCAGGCCGTAGGACACTTACGTTGAGCTTATAGGGCATAGATTCGAAGAAGATGGACGTGGCAGAGATCCGTTTGACATCCGACATGTAGCCATGCGTGAGACTAGAAAGAAAAGGATCTCAAAGTGAAATAACTTCACTTAACCAGCCGCTTCCAGCCCACCTCCACACACCCGTCGCTGGAACACTGGTTCCAGCCCGTCCCCGTCCCCACAATGCGCTCCCCTGGATGGTAGGATCTTGCTCTCCTCCTCTGTAGCATGGAACAGGTATGTTCCACCTTCAAAGGACCTGATATGTATTCTCTCAATAACTCCCATCCCACGTCATTACTGCCCACTGAACCCATCATCCATCCCTAGCCATACTCACTGGCCCCCGTCGGGCAGGTCCAACCCCATGATTCGATCATGGGGCTGAAGAAGCGCTGTATAGGCAGCCAGATTGGCCGGGGACCCCGAGTATGGCTGGACATTGACTCCCCACTGTGCAGGATCCAGGTCAAAGGCTTCCAAGGCCCGGCGCTGGCAGAGCAGCTCGATCTCATCCACAACTTCTGCTCCTCCATAGTATCTACCACGGAGAGGGTACATAAGGGCACAGAGAAAGGACACTTGGCCAGAAGCCAAGGGCTGGGACGGTCACCTCCGTAAGCACTAATGGGCTCAAGAAGGCTCTGCCACTGGGAGTGCCATCCCTGATGCTGCCCTCCAGCCCGTCGGTCTAGCCCTCACCTCTTGCCAGGGTAACCCTCCGAGTACTTGTTGTTCAGACAGGACCCCAGGGCCTCCAGCGCAGCTCGGCTGCAGAAGTTCTGGGGTGGTGGGGGGGCAGTGTCAGAAGGCAATGAGCCCCTTCCCCTGGACTCCCACCGTCCCACCCCTGCCAGAGCCCACAGGCTGGGGGGCTAGAGAGGGAGAGATAGGCTACAGAAAAAGCTCTAGGACTCTGGGTTCCTTGCCAGGCACGAGGCAGGACCAGGAGCAGTGTTCTCAAACTCAGCTGCCATGACGGATGGCCCCAGTAAGGCCAACTGTCCACTCAACCTGTGTTTCCTCTTTCTTCTGACAAGAGGGGGAGACAGGGAAGAAATGAAACTCTAGGGGCTCCAGAAGCTCCATCAACTGGATGCTTCAGAGGGCAGTCCAGAGAGCGGGAGAAGACCCCGGAGAAACGACAGGAAGATGGCGTGTTACTTCCTGCACTCACGGTAGCTGGGTCCTCGGCCCACATCCTCACACCCTACCTCTGAGGCGATGAGTTCCAGGCCGCGGCACTGCCTGTCTTTCTCCCTCTGCAGTAGCTCCCACACCTCAGGGTCACTGTCTGCCAAAGTCTCCTGGCCTGTCCAGCCTCCAGCTGCTTCCCCAGCCTGTGTCTGGGCCACCTTGCTGTGCTGAGCCCGAGCAGCCATCCAGACCAGCTGACCACATCGCTGCAGAGGCTTAGGGCAAGAAAGCCAGGATTAATTAAAAATTGTCCAGACCTCTCCCGATTGCCCTCGGCCATGGGTACAGAGAGAGCCCTCTAGCCAAGCTGGCAGCCTGGTCCAGCCAGTAAACTCGGTTCTCACCACCCCCATCTTCACCTTGAAAAGCAAGTTCTAGCGTCAAGGTTCAGATGACTATCCAAAGGGCAGTTTTGATCAGCTCTACTCAACCCCCTCCAAAGCTCCCTCCAACCAACCCCGGGAGTCGCTCTGTCAAGTCATAGAGCAAAGTGAAGTCCATATTCCCCAAATTCAGAACAGAGATACTGAGAATTCAGGGTCGCCCCCCTCCCCCCAGGAACAAAAGGGCCTTCCTGGCCCTGGCGCGGTGGCTCAGAGGTTAAGGACACTTGTTGCTCGTGTACAAGGCAAAGGGCAGAGGTTCAGCTCCTAGCACCCACATGGCAGCTCACAACCATCTGTAACTCCAGTTCCAGGAGACCTGCAGGCACTCTGTGGGTACCCAAGCATGCCATGTGATGGACATACATACATGAAGGCAGAATATGGACATAAAGGGGGAGGACCTCCTGCACAGCCTCCCTAAGAGACTACCCAATGAGAGAAGACACCAAGTTAACAGGGCTTAACGCCACAGGCTGTAAGGATAGTTTCCAGAGCAACGAAAGTAGAATAGACTTTTAAGCAGTTCTTGGAAAGAGGTGTGTACTGGCGGGAGTGGGGGTAGAGTGACGGTGTTTGCCCAGAAGGAAGCCAAAATCTTAATTTTATCTCTCTCTCTCACACACACACACACCACCCCCCTACTTCCTTCCGCCCACGCTGCAGCGGGACCCCTGCCTGACGAAAGCACGGAGGCTCGGTTGCATCATCTCCATAACTCCGAGCTGGCGGGAAAAATGAAACTAGCACATCGAAGCCGGGAACCCCACTTGTTCGCTAGGATACTGCTAACGCAGGGTCTGCGGACCTCTACCTGAAGCCGTGTGAACGGTGCGATCACAGACCCTGGGACGTCTGGTGGCCAGGACTAGGGGCCCAGGCATCGCACGTGCGCCCAAGACTCTCAGAGATTTCCTGGTTAAGCATCTGCTCCCCGAGGCCCCAGAACACGTGCGGTGAAGGAGCCAGGGGAACCCCACTTTGTGAAGAGGAACTAAAGTGGGGTGGGCCTTTCCACTGGCCCTCCAGTATCCAGAATCCAGTTCTTACCCGAGTGGTCCAAAGCCAAGAGAAGGGCACCATCGCTACCGGAGGTCACAGAATGACCAGCCACCAACTCCGGTCCAGAGTAGTAACAGGGGAGGGGTCGGAAGCCGACTGGCCTTAGAGCGCATGCGCGAGAAAAATACCCCCGTGAAGTTCGAGTTAAAGGGGAGTCACCCGCGCATGCGTACTCTTTAGAATATGGCCTTCTGGGAATTGTAGTTTTTATTATTATTTTGCATCTGTACCTCCGGGTTGCCTGAAAGAGTCTTGAAGCTCAGGGTCGTTATTATTGTTGTTGCTGTTGTCGTTGTTTTTCCCGCCAGTTGTTCAGGCAAGCATTTTTTTGGTTTCTTTGGTTTGTTTGTTTGTTTGGTGCCTACCAAGTAACCAGAACTATAAAATCCTCTGGGAGATTCAGAGACACTTCTTTTTTTTTTTTTTTTTTTTTTTGGTTTTTCGAGACAGGGTTTCTCTGTGGTTTTGGAGCCTGTCCTGGAACTAGCTCTTGTAGACCAGGCTGGTCTCGAACTCACAGAGATCCGCCTGCCTCTGCCTCCCGAGTGCTGGGATTAAAGGCGTGCGCCACCACCGCCCGGCCTCAGAGACACTTCTAGAAGGTAAAGAACTATGGCACAGTGGGAGCTGATATAATTTGAAAGGGTAGAAGACCCAAGCCCCTGCTTTAGGATCACAGCAAAATAACCTCGCCGCTCCTCAGTTTTCTTCACTTGTAACACCTTGATGAAATAATTGTGGTGGCCCACACTTGTCATTCCAGCATTAACAGGATTAGGAGTTCAAGGCTAGCCTCAGCTACCTATAAAGTTAGAGGCCAGTGCACCAAATGTGAGCCTGGTCACACCCTGGCCCCCAAACGCAATAAAAGAGTTTATGGCAGGGATGAAATGAAGCTTTACTTGTGAACAAGCTCCCTGTGGATCGTCCTCCTGACTCAAAACTGCTTCCTTCGTGGCCTGTCAGCCGAGGCAAAGTAAGCTGTTCCTCCTCTGGCCATCCCAGGGTGCAGGTGCCTTTCAGTACTTATTCACAGACTTTCCCAGCAATCACCAAGTTCTTGAACCTGATCGGAGTAAATCTTTCAATGGGGCACTCATTGATCTCTCCAAGGGAAGATTCTGCATGAGCTGGGGATATCCTAAAACCTCTAGTTCAGCCAGTCGGTGATGGAGCATGCGTTTAATCCTAGCACTCCGGAGGCAGACAGGTAGGTCTCCGTGAGTTCAAGACCAACCTGGTCTACAGAGTGAGTTCCAGGACAGGCTCCAAAGCTACAGAGAAACCCTGTCTCGAAAAACCAAAACAGACAAACAAAACAACAACAACAAAACTCTTCTAGTTCAATGTCTCTCAAAGACAGCAATGAAGACACACAACCAAACCTCCCTTGGGGATTCCAGCAAGCATTGTTTGTGAGGAGCATTACCCTATACAGCCATTTTATACATTTATTCATTCAACTGACATTGAGCCTGCTAGGTGTGCCTTAACTCTGGGGGTGGGGGGGCATGAAGAGCTAAACAGGGGCAGAGAGTCCAGCAGCTCACTTTTCTCAAACACCGGATGCATAAGGAAGAGAGGGGAGTAGGTAGACAGAGCCTTGGAGGAGGAATGTTTGAGTCGCGAGAGAGGAGGATGATCCACGGAAGGACGGAAGGACGTGTGATCTTTTCCACAGTGCTACAGACGGAATGTAGAGTGTAGTCGCAAGCCTGCTGGTTCCAGTCACTGCCACCCTCAGCCGTCCCACCTGGGTCTCACATGAAGTTTCTGAGTATCTTTTAGGGCTGTCTCTCCAGAGCTTCGGTTCTCTCGGGCAACTCCGGCACCAGGCCCAGGAGAGGGAAACCAGTCCATCTTCCTTCTCCTCTCATTCCGACCTGGCTACGTATCCGTATCCTCCTTCATTTATTTGTGTATTGAACCCAGGGCCTTGGGCATGCTAGGTAAGAGCTCCATCCCCATCTCTATTTATTTATTTTCTCCCCGTGATTTTTTTACTCTCAGGCATGTGGGCGTCAGATCCGCCCCTATACTCAGTATCAGACTGCGCTGTGGGCAATCCTGTGGAGGGCACTGCTCTCTTTTCCGTGGGCACCTTTACCCGAAACTCCAGAGAAGTCTGGCTGAAGAGGAAGAGAGACTCTCTGTTTCAGCTTGTCTGCACCACCACCCCCAAGGCCCAGCCAGGGGGGTCCCAAGGGGAGGGGGCTGCTGAGCTGAGAACTGCTAATGAAGCTGCAGCCAATTAACGCCCGGGCCAGGGTTGGGGGTGGATAAAATTAGCAGCCAAGGCTGCAGGAGGGAGCTGAAGGCGGAGGTGGAGAGGGTGGGCAGCTGGCTGAAGGGGGCTGTTTGCTAGCGGCTACCAGCCGCGACTCAGCCCCGCCCTCCAAACCTGCCCTCGTCCCTTCCCCCATCACCTCCTCCCAATGTTCCCTCCCTCCCTCATCCGTCTGCAAACTCAGCGCCCACGAAATTAGGAAGGAAAAGGAAGATCGATGACTCCAGATGCCGCAAACACCGTTCCCCTTCCCTCCCAACCTTTTTCCCTCCAGCCTCGTGGATGGAGCCTAGCCGGCTTTCAGCACTCGGTCGGGTCTGCACTATCCCTGCTTCTCCGTCCCGTTCAAGTTCTTTAACCTCCTTTCCTCCAAGTCTCCCAAATACACTGCGGGAAGTCCCACCTTAGGTCTAATCACCATTCTATCTGCTTTCACTAACATTCGCCCTACTTAGAGAGAGATAATGCCCACCTGGGTGACGTTTACCCATTGGTCGATCACTCCTTGATCAGGTCTCAAATGGGCACAGGTGCTGGGTCTGTCAGTCTGCCTCAGTTTCCCCCAACAGACTTCAAGGAAGGAGGCCTTGGCTCAACCTCTACCAGACAAACCCCACACCTGCCCGCCCCCCTTTCCTACAAAGGTCTCACACAGGCGAGTATTGGATTTCGCTTTATTTTGTTTCCCTTTCCCGTCTGTTTTGGCATAGAAAAAAAAAATATCACCGAGAGGAAGCAGCCAGAGAGGGCAGGTGGAACCGGACTGCAGGCGGGCGAGCGGATTAGGGAGGGGGGGCAGAGCACAGGGGCCAGGCAGAGCCCCCTGCTCGGGACTTTTGCTTCAGTAAGGTTGGGAGAAAGGGGGGACCGACATAGGACACGCAGAAAGGGAAGGGGCTAGATGGGTTGGGGCTTGTAGACTGCTACAGTCTTGAGGGGTGGATAGGACCGGCGCTTAGGGTAAGAAAAAGGGTCAGGCCAGGCGTCATTAAAGCTGCAGGGTGGGCAAAAGGGGAACCAATACGTATTCGTAAGGAACCCTAAGAAAGCGTCCAAGCCCCGCCCACTCTGGGGTTGTGCTCTTGGCTTCTCCAATTTTCGGTTCGTTTGAGACTACCCCAGCCTCAGGGACACTCGGGGCCAAAAGGAAACGGAGAACCACGCTGACTGATAGTCCCAGGGAAGCCTGTTTTCCTCCACCCTACCCACAGTGGAAGACGTGGGGGGGGGGGGGGCAGTCACAGGAGCATGGGGTAAAGGGAAGGGTCCCACCTAGTGAGGCTGCGATCTGGTGGGAAGCTCGGGGGCCCAGGACAGGGGCGCTATCCAAAATAAGGGTGCTCGCTCTGAAAGTTATAGTCTGGGCACACCTTCTGCACCAGTTTGTAGTCAAAACTGAGGAAGGAGACGAAAATACAGATGACTTTGAAGGGCTTGGCGCAGAGCCAGGCGGCCTGGCTCTGCGTGTGCTCGGTGAAGCACACCTGCGACGGGTCGTACAGGCACGGGCGGTGCTTGCGAGCTCGGTTTGTCTTCTCGTATTCCACGTGGCAATTAAAAGCGCGCGACTCTTTGGCCCCAGGCACTCCCAGCGCGCCTCCGAGTGGGCCGGCCAGTGCGCCCCCAAGGTTGCCGCCCAGCCCCTGCCCCGCCATCCCCAGAGGGGGCCCCAGTCCAGGGAGCACCCCTTCTAGTGCCAGCGTAGATTGCAGAGGATGGGAGGCAGGCCCAGGCAGCCAGACGCTCCCGAACTCCACACGCTTGGAAGGCGGCACGATACTGACACTTAGGTTACCCAAGCTGGACGAGTTGTGACGGAAGTACACACTGAAGGTACCGTTCACATGGTCCACGATCTTGCCGGTCACCAGCAGCGAGAACTTGAGGGTATGAACACGAAAGTAAAAGTCTCCCCAGCCGAAGATCTTCTTGGCGCGGGCCGCTTTAATGGATGGCTTCCTCTTGGTGCGCGGCGCGGGCGGGCCGCCTGCAGCCCCGGGTTTGGCCAGCGCCCCGGTGTGGTTAGAGGGCCAGACCCAGCTCCAGGAGCGCGCCGTGCCCAGGCTGTCGGAAGACCCGGGCGCCGGGAGCTGTTGGCTGCGGGCGCCCCCTCCGGCCATGGCGGGTCGCAGTTCCAGATACTGCGGCCTTCCGGATTCCGCGATCTGGCCACTGACTGCCTGTGTGGGAAGAAATAAGAGAGCTGGACTGGGCAGACCACAACGGTGGCTCAGGAGTGTGTTTTGGGTTAGACCTTGTATCCCTTGCAAGCTCTGTGATCTTGGCCAAGTCATTTCATGTGTCTGGACCCTAGCTTCTACACCTGTGAATGTGACCTGATGATCCCTGGGTTGTCACAGAGCTCCAGTGTGGGCTCAAAGACAAAGCCAGCTTTGGTGTGGGTTTTGGAAAAGGGAGAGACCCTTTCTGGATAGTCTGGCTTTTCCCAGTGATGGCCCTGATTGTGACATCCTCACCATCCAGCATCAGGAAAGGGCTGGCTTCTGCAGAGACCAGCTCCTTCCTTCCCGGAGGGGCCTCTAAGAACCAGCTGAGCAGAGAAGGATCAACCACGGGTTGAAGCTTGGAGGATAATGGGGTACTCCTCCTGTCCCCACTCCTTGGCTTGGAAGAGCGGGAGGAGTCACCCTGCCTGCCCACCGTGCTGGCCTGTCTCAGGTGGCAGGGATCTGGGAGACAGCACTGATGGATCGAGAGGCAGGAGCGGGCCGGCCAGGCCCAGGCCATCAATTATCTTGGGGTGTGTGTGTGGAGGGGGTGACCGGGAGTAAAGGAGCTGGGGGAGAGTGACGGGAGAGTGAGAAGAAATATGGAGATGCCGCTCCGGCACAGGGAGTGGGAGGGAGAGGAGCCGAGCTTGTCAGCGTGTGTCAGTCAGCCTGTGCTAGACACCACCAGTAGCTGGGCCCTGACTGCCTGCAAGTCCCTTGGGAGAGGCAGTTCTGTGTGTGCCTGGGGTGGTTGTTATCCTGAAATGGTTGTGTATGTGTGTCCATGCGTTCGGTGTGGGTATCTTCAGTCTGTGAAGGCTGTGTACATCAGCAAGAGGAGGCTCTGTGTGTGTGTGTGTGTGTGTTCCCATTTACTTGTGGCTACTGTCCGTCCATTGTGTATTTGTGCCTGATCACCTGGGGCCAGGAGGCTGTGCCCATCTGTGTGTGTGAAGCTGCGTGTGTCAATTGGTAACAATGTGTGTGTGTGTGCATAGCTGTGGTCATTGTTGCCTGTGTACAGGGTGGCCGTGTGATTATCTAGAGGTGTCATTTTTTTTTTTCCTGTGTGACTCCGTTACCTGTCCATGTGTCAGGGTGTAAGGGAAGGTCACACAGTGACGGTGGCCTGTGTCCACAGGAACAAGTGTGTTGCTCACACAAGCATGCCGGCATGGTATATGAATGCCAGGCATGCTGACTTGCAAGCTGAGAATAGAGGGGTAAAGGACCTGGAAGATGGGTGACCCCTCTGTTTGCATTCGAGTCTACACACTGTGTCCACAGAGGACCAGAATGGCAGGGCTGGGCTAGACTCTCGACTGCCTGGTCCCCTGGTCCCCGTCCCTGCAGCACTGCGATCCCAGGTTATTAATGCTGCCGCCACCCGCTCGTCATACATATTTATCGCCCCCCTCACTCCTCCTCCCAATCCAGGTGAGGGGGGTGGAGGTGGCAAGAATGATTGACTCAGACAGACAAGCCTGAGCTGGCATCTGACACCCGGAGGGTACACCTGAGTAGGGCTAGGGAAATGGGCTTAGGGTAGGGGTGGGGGTAAGGGTAAGGAAATAGCCCCAGGAGGTGGGGTTGAACCCCAGGCAGGGGGTTGGAGGTAGGAGTAGGTGAGGCTTCAGGGAAAGCAAAGGGAATGTTGTTGAAGTCTTAACTCTAATCTCTTCCCCTTCTGGACCAAACCTCTCTTATTTCCAGGTAGCCCAGCACTCCCCCCCCCCCCCAAAGCTGCTCTATGCTAAGATGCCAAATGCCTCCAGCTATGACTTCCTAGGACATCCCAGCACTCCGTGTCCTGCACCCAGCCTGGGACTGCTCAGGGCTGGTAGGTTCAGCCTCTTCAGAGAAGAGATGGGGTGGAAATGAGGTTTGGCAGGGCAGAGAGAGGTGCCAGGATGTCCCCCACCTCTGATCTCAGACAAATTGCTGTCTGCTTCTATGATCCTAGCAAATCCCTGGGCTTTGGAGCCCCCACCCACTGCCAGAGACAGCTAAGATAAAAGGGAAGAGTTGGGGGAAGGCAGCTGAAGCGACCTTGGGGGTGGGGAGCTCGGACCGGGAGGGGCGAGCGTCTGAGAGGAAACGAGCCGAGAAATGGGAACATGGAATAAAATAATAAAATCCTCCCTCTGGCTTCCGTGATCGCTCAGGCTCTCTCTCCCTCTCTTCTCTCACTCTTTCCCTGTCTCCGCCCCTCTCTCTCCCCCTACCCTTTTCTCAATCTGGGTCTCTGTTTCTTCCTCCACTCTGTCTCCAGTTTCCAGTTTGGGGAATGCCCCCACCCGTGACATTTCTGTCTCTCTAACCATGGCTCTCTGCTCGGTCCTCCTGCTTGTCAGTCTCCAGCGTGGGTTGGGAGCCGAGGATGTGCAGGGTGACAAGGTGTGGTTAAGGGAGCCCCTTTTTGCCAGAGCCCACCCCACAAAGACTGAGGGCCTGAGCCGGGTGTTGTCTAAGGAGGAACCCCCCCAACTTGAAAGCTAGTTTAATTAAACTAATTGAGCGCAGTGACATTTGCAGAGGGGAGAGGCTAGCCGGCTGGCTGTCAGCTGGGGTGGGAGGTAGAGGTGTGTGCGGTGTCTGAGGGCCTAAAGCAGACTCCTTGAGGCCTGCTCCTGCTCTGGAGGAACTCAGCCAGGAACACTTGCCCCAAGGCAGCAGGCCCACGCACCTGAGGGGGAGTCGAGGCCATCTCCTGATGCTAAACAAACTCCACCAAGGCGGGGAGGGGAGGTGGGGGCTCTTTGGGGACAGGACTGCTGGGAATTGGATCAGGCTGACAGCCCCCCTTAGCCGCATTGCAGGGTGCGCCTCCCCTGGGCCTCCAGGCTACTTCATTGCTTCTCTTTTTCTTCCCTTTGGGTCAGAAGGAGCTTAGGATTCATGGGGGGGTGGGGGTGGGGATAAGCACCCTGGGTTTGGGGAAGGGACAGACAGTCTAGGCCTGGGCTGGGGAAGCAAGCAAATAGCACTGAGTCCTTGTAAGCAGAGAACCAACGGTCACTGCAGTCCGGTCGGGGTGGGGTGAAGTCTGGCTGGGAGCTGTGCGGGAGGGGTTGGGGAGGACAGGCTGAGGTGAGCACCAGGACAGAGATGGACTGGGGCTAGGATTGGGTACTAGGCTGGGGAAACCACAAGGGTAGTCGTGGGGGCAAGAACAGCGAGATAGGAAACAGTGATAGGCTTAGATGTTGAGGGGAGATGGACCCAGAAGAATGAAGAGAGACAGGAGAGGATGGGAGCTAAAATGGGGACAGGCATGATCAATGACAAATGGACGCTGGAGACTGGCTGGACCGAGATGGGACGGGGTGACAGTGATGGGGACGGGACAGGATGGGACAGAACAGAAAGGGAGGAGAAAACAAGGTTGCTGATAGATAGAGACCTAGGAGATGGTATGGGGGAAGCCACTGGGGACCCGAATGGGAAACAGGGGACAGGGAAAGTGATTGGCGATGTGGATAGAGACAGGAGCTTGAGGACAGGTATTCAGGTGAGAAAAAGGCAGAGTTCGGGAGGGGGCCAGGCAAGTGGAGGCAAGGGGACCTCTTCAGACTAGTACAGGGCAGGGATGGGGGCCTGCTGCTGAGGTGGGCTCTGTCCTTGGGCCAATCGCCCTCTCCCCCACAGCCCCACCCGCTTGCCTGCCCGCGGCCTGCTGCGCAAGGCTCACCGTTATCTGAATTTTGATTTTATTTTATTTTATTTTATTTCCCTGCTTCCTAGAGCTGGCGCGGTCCCCCCGGGAACGGCCGCCCCCCGCCCCCCGCCCCGCGCCTCACTTTATTATTGCAATAAATGTGCCTATAAAGGCGCCGGCTCCAGGGCGCGGTGGGGGTGGGGGGGAGCCGCAGAGCGGGGATGTAATTTCCCGAAGCCTGAGCCGGAGGGGGAGTGGGCGGGGTAGAGGTGGAGGAGGGGCAGGCATGGGGAGAAGGGGAGACTCGCCAATTTACAGAGCTCAAGGCCGCACTCTCAGCTCCCTATCCCGGTTCCTTTCCCCATCTACTGTATATCCCGGGATCCCCCCCTTTGAACTTGAACCAGAGGCCCACTCCACTGCGACCTGACCCCCTCTCTGTTAATCTTGTCCCCTGGTCCGTACCTACACTGAGTTACAGGGGTTCTCTCTATTCAAAGTTCCCTATCTCCTTGCCAATTATTCCATCACTGACCCCTTACCTGCTTCCTTTCAAGGATTACCCCACAGCTCTCCAAGTGTGGGTCCCTGACCCCAGTGACTCCTCTTTGCCTTCCCTCGCCTCACCACCAAATCTCTTTACTGTTGTTACCTCACCCTAGATCTCTATCTGGCTCCTCACCGAGCCCCAACCATGACCCTCCTTTCCAACGGCGCCCCTCCCATTTGGGATGTGAGGCTTGGCTGCAAGCCCTGACCCAAGGGAACTGTCGCTGTAGACACCCCCTCCTCTAGTGTCCCTGGCCCAGCTGCGGCCCCTGATTACCGCCCCCCAAATCCCAGCCAGCAGCTCTGGGCTCGAGCCCAGGCTGTGCGTGCCTAAGTGGCCTAGCCAGAGATTAGCTAGGGGGCCTGAGGAGGGTGAGGAGGTGGGAGGCGAGGTGGTGGTTGGCACAAGGGTTGTGGCTGACCCAGACTGAGAGACTCGCCCAGGTCTAATCCTTCCCTGAGGCAGGATAGAGCTGAAAGGTCCCCCAGGCTTCCCCACCCCTGCCCTCCCCCAGCTAATTAGTAATTAGTGATTAGTGATTAGTGACTATTGATCGCCTGCTGTTTCTCCCAGTAGGCAGCTGCTTTGGCAAGGGACGAGGAAGGCAGATTTTGGAGCTTGAAGACTGTATTGGGAAGACCTGAAGCAGTCAGGCCAGTCAAGAGGCCAGAGCCCCTGGGTCAGGCAATGGAAGCCAGGAGTACCAGACCCTGAGAGGAGTCTCAGGAGCCTAGAAGGAAAGGAAGAAAGCAGAGATCTCCTGCGGGAAGGTAGGGTTGGTAGTATCGATGGTTAAGATTTCCAAATGCTGTCTGAGGAACTGGGCTGCCCAGCCTCTCATCTCTGTGTCCGGCTCACCTTTTACCCCCTCCCAACACTGGCATCAAGAGATCCCTGAATGCAGTGCTCATGCTTACACTCGGGTATATGAACAAATCTGAGGCTCACAACCCATGCTTACACTCAACTGGACCCAAAGTCATGAGCACACAAATATACACTCCCAAACCCAGACTCACACGCAAACAACAGATGTGCCCCTGTATGCAAATACATCAGAGACCCTGGGGGTCGATAGACGGGGGCACACATCCTCCTTAGGAGTCCACATGAGAATTCCCTATGCAGAATTACACACATCCACACACCACACATGCACAGGCTGGACCAAATGGCAGATAGGCAGTTCCCCGCTGCTTCCAACGCAGCCACCCCCAGCTGCAGCCCTCTCTCAGACAGATAGATCCCATCTCTCATATCCTCATGCTCACTCTCCCTCAAGTCTCTGCCAGATGTTTAATTCCCCTTCAGGGGGCAAAGGAAATTAAACCAGATCTGTCCACAGGGAGTTAATTTGATGGGGAGAGAGTGGAGAAGGCAGTGTGTGTGTGGTGGTGGTGGGGGGGAATCGGGGCAATGGTATTTCCCTCCTCTGTGACCCCGGGCCTTCACACACTGTGGTTTTGGACCTGACCCTCTCCTGCCATCTTCCTGGAGTCAAACCGGGCCTCAGGTTCAAAAGAAGCTCCCACCAGAGGCAGCAATGTTCACACAGTGGGCTTTACCCCCAGCTTCCACCCCATCAAGGTCACTAGGCAGGCAGCCTTGGGAGAATCCGAGGACTCTCCCGGCTCACTGGGACAGTCTCTACCCTACTGTGGCTGTTGAGGAGACTGGGGGTTCAGGTGTTTTAGAAAATTACTCGCTTCTTCTGGATTCTCTCAGGAGCTGACAACTGGAGTCCAAGAGAAAAGGCTATGGAGTCACCTGCTTGCCCTTAACCTGGGTAGGGCACAGTTGGTAATGGGAGGAGTTAGGGCCAGGGTCTAGACCGCCCTTGTGGATCACAGACCAGGGCACTGTGAAGCAGGCACAGTCATTCATGCAAAGCCGGCCGGGCGGTTGGCGTCTCCATGGCACACCAGCATAGACATTCACTCTGGGCCCCAGTGTTAAAACACCAACCCTGGATTCCCTGGACACAGGCTAGCACACGGGGGCTGGTGTTAAGCCACACGCCTCACAACGGCAGGCACGTCTGTGCACACCATGCATATGAACCAAGGATTTCAAGTAGAGTCCGTGAGGATGAGGTCTGGGCCCTTTTTAGCCTTTGGGTCTTCACCCAAAAACCCCAGGAAAAGAAGCAGTGAAGAAGGATGGGGGCAGGGTGGAAGTGGGAAGAGAGACTCCCCTTCCAGACAGCCCCCACTACTGGGCGCGAAAGGGGGGTGTGTCTGTGAGGTTGTGCAGGGGAGATTGTGTCTCCGCGGGAAATGTGATGGGAGGTTGTAGCCAAGTTCGGCCCTGCTGGTGTGGGTCCTTGGAAGCGTGTGTGCCTGGGCCATGTATGTTCGGATCGCAGAGCCTACCTGGCATTGTGACAAGTAAGGAGAAGAGAAATGGGAAGGTAGAGGGTGAAGGGTGGAAGGACAGAGAGGAAGGCAAGCAAAGTAGGCGCGGAAGGAAGGCTAGGCTAACACCCTCTAGCTTGTCTGTCTGTCTCGCACTCCTTCCCTGTCTGGCACACTCGCGGGTCGCGCTTCGTCCCCTCCCCCGTGGTGCCTGAAGCCCATCGGAGCCCGGCCTTCACCCCACACCTTCTTCTAACCCTCAGCCAACTTGCGCTGGGCGCGTGCCAGTCCTAAAGCCGGCAGTCTGTCTGTCCGCGTCCACTAGGACGCACAAAGTTGGACGCTTAGTGCTGGGGGCGGGGCGGACGCACCGAGCCCCCTGGCATGCAAGGTTCTTCGTGTTCGGGACCCCGCGCCTTGGCTTTGCCACCCTTACCTTCCTAAGGAGCCACGGACCAAAGAGCAAGAGGAGCCATTCCGGGAGCAGCCGCATCTTCCCGGGCGGCCGGGCGGGTTGGGCAGGGCGGGTCCCGGGGCGGGCCGGACAGGGCACAGGCAGGGCACGGGGCGCCGGGCTGAGGGCGGCGGTGCGAGCGGTGGGAGCGGGCGGCTCGGCCCGCCGACTGAGCGCGGAGCAGAGCGCGGCGCTGGGCGCTGGGGGCGGGGCGCGGGCGGGGGAGAAAGTTGGGTCTGAGTCGGGCGGGCGGGAGGGGCGGGGCTCCGCGGTGCTCCAATCCCGGCCGCGCCCCGCGCGCCCCCTCCCGCCCAGCTGGGGGCACGGAAGGTGACTTTCACCGCGACACGCCCCGGACACGCCCCTGGCTCAGGTGTGAATCCGGAGAGGGTCGAGGGGCTTGGGAGTGGCACCCTAAAGATGCCAGGTTTGGGCTAGGACTGGGCGTGGGGCTCTAGGCTCTGGACTAGAGCGAAGGGGGGCTTCGTGGAACAGGAGCCCCGCCAGGCTCGGCGGAGGAGGACAAGGGTCCTGCGATGTCGGGGCGGAGGGGTCCCTTCTATGCTCCAGGCCTAGGTGGGTCCCAAGCAGAGAGTGGGACAGGGGCCCGGGTGAGGGCCAGCAGGGCCTCGGGCGACTACCACAGCACACGGTGCTGACGGGGATGGATGGGCGCCCCGCGGCTCATTCGGCCCGGAGATGAGAATCATTGATCACGGACGGAAACCCCATCACGTCTGTCAATAGGGCTGACAAACGGCGCCCGCCGCCCCGCCCCCGCCCCACGGCACCTCTGAGGTCTCTGAACCCCTTGGCTAGACGGGCTCTTTCTAGGTTTGGCCCTCTCGACCTGAATTGCTGACCCTTGCCCAGCCCAGGGCAACCTTAAGTGGCAACCTTAAGTCCTTAGTGCCGTCTGCCCAGCCTCTTGGTACAGTCTTGTGCTTTCCATCCCATAGTCCCATCTTCCACTCCAGCTCTCCTTATCCCCGTCCCCTTTCCTGTCTATCTCTGTCCTTGTCTCTGTCCCCAGCTCCAGCACTGTCTCTGGGCTGTTTCTTCATCTGTTCCCTCCTCCCACTGGTCCTCTCTCTTCCCTGCCCAGGGAGTCTTCAACTGTCAGCTGTTGCTATGCAGCTGTGGCTGAGTCTGAGGTGATGGTAATGACCAACACCTAGACAGCAAGAGATAGGAACAAGCAAAGAAATGAAGAGACAGGCCCACACCCCAAGATGTGTCTCCAGGCACACACCACAGTATTCATAGTAGCCTGCTACATTGTACAGTGAGTGCACACAGAGCAAAACACGTCCACGTACACTCGTGTACACAGGCACACAAGCAAACTCAGATGGACACATGATTTATGCACACAGGAGCACACGGTGAGATGCATGAACAGCCAAGTATGTAAGGAAGCACTGTCTTACCTTGACAGAGGCAAACCTTCAAGGAGCTGAAAACACACACACACACACACACACACACACACACAGTCTGTCTGTCTGTCTGTCTGTCTGTGTCTCTCCTAAAGACAAGCATGAGGATTTGAAAAGGACAGATACATATAGGATGTGACAGACACCAAAAAGAAGGGGTCAGGGAAAGGACAGGGATGCTGAGGGGTTGAGGCAGGTGCTGTGGTGACACCCAAGGAGACAAAAAACAGGAAGCAGCTATTTGACTGCAGTCAGGGCTGAAAAAAAAAATGCAGGACAAAAGTGTCAGGAGCAAGGCCAGATGGCCCCAACCAGAACCCAGGGCTGATCTCAAGCCCGGGGGGTGGGGGGTGGGGGTGTGTGGTGGGGGGGTGTGCTTTGTACTGAATGAAGGTCAAGGTGGTCCTGTGTCTTAGGGACAGTGCAAAGTCTCCATCCCATCACCATCCCATCACCGTTCTGGTTAGTCTCGGGTCATCTGATTCTCTCGGAGACAGAGATGACACACGCCTGCACTGCACACATGTGCACACAGCTTATCTCTGGGTCTTGGCCTCTGCTCCTGAAGATCTCCGCCTATGAACCTCTGCCTTTCATTTGGTCGGCACCAGTCTGCATGATTCTGTTCAGGATCTTGTTGATTCCTGAGACCTCTCCCATTTGTCTGGCCAGATTTCTGGGAGACTGCTCCAGGTGGTCCTGGCCAGCAGAGGGAGGGCGCTCACCGAAAGGGTATGCTTTCTCAGCCACAGCTGGGGCCATCTCGCTCTACCCAGGATCTTGAGGTGACAGGCAGAGAATCAGCGACTCCGGGGGGGGGGGGGGAGAGGGGGAGCTACAGATGTAGGCTGGCAGGAGGGGGCTGGGAGGGTGGGACTGCTACGGCGGGGGAGGGGTGGGGTGGGGGGGGTGAGAGGAGCAGTCTCTGGGGGAAGGAAGGAAGATGGCTGACAGGGTGGAAGGGTCAGCACAAAATAGCCTCAGGGAAGGAAGTGAGAGGCTGGGCTAGGGTCCTTAGCAGGTGCATAATTAGTGTGTGGAGCTTTAGGATAAACCGAGCTACAGGAGTGCAGACGCCACCTGGTGGCCAGAGGGAGCCACAAGCCCATCACTTGAGGATCAACATCTTTTTTTTCTTCTCTTCCCCAGCATGGTGGCTCATCTCAGGGCCCTGGGGAGTCTGGGGAAGGTCTCAGGGCAGACTTTGGGGATAAAGTTGGAGACGAGGGAAAAGGAATGGTCTAATTCCTGGATGTGCGTCTGTCTATAAGCCTTCCCAAGGGAGGAAGCGAGGGATAAATGCCCTCGGAAGCTGACCAGTGAGGGTCAGCGATGAAAAAAAAAAAAAAGGAGGCCTTTGGGAGACATTGTGTTTGCTTTGGGAGTGCAGGGTTCTAACCCTCCCTGTCCTGGACAGCGGTAAACTGCAGAACCTTCCACAAGAGGTTCAGTTCCCTTTGAGAGAGGTCCAAGGAGATCTGGAGTAACTTAGAAGGCATAAGGCTTCTCCTGATCAACTCCTGGAATCTCTGCAGTGTTTGCCGGAGGCCGACGGGGCTGCAAACTGTCTTCCCGGCTCTCCTTCCCTCTGGCTCCTCTCCCCTAATTCAGGTTTTTAATTGGGGAAAAATGGGCGTGTGTGCTGACGTGTGCATGTGGAGGTCAGGGAACAATGTTATGGAGCTGATTCTTGCTCACTTTTCCATGGGTTCCGAGATCAAACTCAGGTCATCAGGTTTGCTCGCTCGGCAAGTGCTCTACCCATGGAAGCATCTTGCTGGTCATACAGCCACGGTTTTCCTCGTGGCATCATAGAGAAAGGTATCAACATTTCAAAGGAAGCTGGGAGCAGAGAGCTGAGGCCAATCATCATGACCCGATGTACTCATTTCTCCGGGTGTGGCAGCTCCGTGTGGGGGACTGTGGGGGACAGGTGCACAGTGGAAGGGGTAAAGCAGTCAGACAGATCTCCAGGTCAGTGTGCTGGTACCAGGGGAGCACAGGTTAAGGTCATATGCCAAGAAAAAACAGCTCTTCCTGCCACAGGAAGACTGGAGATGGCTTGAGGCTGGAGACATTGACCTTAGGGTTCTCAGGCTGGGCCTCCAGCTTGCAGCACGGCTCCCTCTGGTGGCTGAAGTGGGCCGCAGCTCCCAAAGTCACACTAGCAGGCAGACACAGTGGCTTTTTTTTCTTTTCTTTCTTTTTTTTTCTTTTTTTCTTTTTTACAATTTTATTTATAACAATATCTGTGTTATTTAGTTGTAAAGGAATTCAGCAAAAATTATTAAAACGTTCACGTCCCCAAAATGGGGCTGCCCGCTTGCCCTTCCTTGGTATGCCCCAACTCTTCCTGGTCCTCAGGGGAGGGGAAGCTGGAGGAGTTTCCAAAGAATGTGTACAGCCCTAGGAGTCACAGGGGGGGCACCGGAGAGGGGAGCCTGTCTGGAAGGGGTACTGAGTATGGCCATCTCACAGGTGCCCCTAAAATGGAAGCTGGGGTGACTTCCCTCAAGAACTACAACTCCATTCCTCCTACCTCACAAGGCCAAATCTTCCAGACAGGGTCAGCAGAGGACGCCACCTCCCCAGAACTAACCCCAGAGAACTGAGGGGGGAAGCTTGGACAAGGAGCCCGGACAAGTGTCTTGTACAGGCGCAAGGCTGTACCGCCAGCTTCCAGGGGTGTTTGGTAGGGAATGGAGATCAGCTCCTTCGTACCTTTGAGCCACAAGAGCCCTCCCTGCCCCCTCGAGGCAGCATGGGGGGGGTGGTGCTGAGGAGCAGGCAGGAAGGAGGGTGGAAGAGATAATACTGTGCTTGCTTGCTCGCTCACATATAAAAAGTAATTCCTTCATTTTTACATTTGTACATCCGGCAGGGCCGGCCGGGGAAGGGCTGGCTGGGGAGGGGGCTCATTGAAGGACGCGTCTGTCAGGGGCTTTCTGAGGATGTCCGCTGGGGCAGGGCCCTATGCCAAGGGATCCCCTATCTCGTCCTCAGGTCCCCGGCCCAGGAGTTCTCGCTTCTCGTCCGTGCTGGCCAGGGAGTGGCGGCTGCCATGGCCCCCCATGTAGAGTGTGGCATATACCGGGTTGGTGAAGTTGGTAGGCTGCAAAAATGATAGAGGGTTCAGATGGCTAGAATTTCCCAGCCCCCACTTCCATGACATCATTCAGTAAAACACCTTTGGTTGTCCTGCCCACCCCCAGTCCTTGGACCTCAAAAGCCCTTCAATGGCCTCCAGTCTACCTTGTCAGGGTCCAGGGCAAAATCGGCATCCAGTAGGCCCCCAACATCATCGGGCTCTCCGCCTTCATACATCTTGTAGGTAGGGTTCCCAATTTCCACATTCATGGCCCCGTTGGTCATTCGCTGGTGCTGGAAGCCCTTGGCCCTGGGGAGAGGCAGGAGTCAGGGAGCAGTGACGCTGGTGATGGGGGTTATAAAATAAAAGATTCTCCAGATTCCCAGTGGCTCACCCTCGGACTCGCCGCTTGTACCAGAACACCGCTCCTGCCACCAGCAGCAGCAGCAGGAGCAGCAGGAGCGGGATCAGGATGGAGGCCATGTCTGGAGAGAGAAGTCAGAAAACTGAGCCTGGAGCCCGGGGAAATGAGGGGTACAAGGCTCTCGCTCTAGATCTTGGCACTCACGTCCAGGCTGCTGCTGACTGACGACCTGGTCCTCACAGCGGGGGCCCGTCAGATGGGG